TTTTTTTTTAAGTTAAGTTTCTTTTTATTTCCAGTTAACATACAGTATCATATTAGTTTCAGGTATACAATATAGCAACAACACTTCCATATATCAACACCCTGTTCTCATCACAAGTGCTCTCTTTAATCCCCATCACCTATTTAACTCATCCTACTCACCTCTTCCCTCTGGTAGCCATCAATTTGTTCTCTATAGTTAAGAGTCTGTTTCTTGATTTGTTTCTCTCTCTTTGTCTTATTTTTTCCCCTTTACTTTTTTGTTTTGTTTCTTAAATTCCACATATGAGTGAAATCATATGATATATGTCTTTCTCCTACTGACTTATTTCACTTAGCATTATACTCCCTAGCTCCATCCCTGTTGTTGCAAATGGCAAGATTTCATTCTTTTTTTATGGCTGAGTAATATTCTATTGTGTATATCCCACATCTTATTTTTCCCCCAATATATGAAATTTATTGTCAAATTGGTTTCCATACAACACCCAGTGCTCATCCCAAAAGATGCCCTCTTCAATACCCATCACCCACCCTCCTCTCCTCCCCACCCCCCATCAACCCTCAGTTTGTTCACAGTTGTTTTTTTTCTTAATTTTTTTTTCAACAATAATTTATTTTTGGGACAGAGAGAGACAGAGCATGAACGGGGGAGGGGCAGAGAGAGAGGGAGACACAGAATCGGAAACAGGCTCCAGGCTCTGAGCCATCAGCCCAGAGCCTGACGCGGGGCTCGAACTCACGGACCGCGAGATGGTGACCTGGCTGAAGTCGGATGCTTAACCGACTGTGCCACCCAGGCGCCCCTGTTCTCAGTTTTTAAGAGTCTCTTATGCTTTGGGTCTCTCCCACTCTAACCTCTTTTTTTTTTTTTTTTTCCTTTCCCTCCCCTATGGGTTTCTGTTAAGTTTCTCAGGATCCACATAAGAGTGAAAACATATGGTATCGGTCTTTCTCTGTATGGCTTATTTCACTTAGCATAACACTCTCCAGTTCCATACACGTTGCTACAAAGGGCCATATTTCATTCTTTCTCCTTGCCACGTAGTACTCTATTGTGTATATAAACCACAATTTCTTTATCCATTCATCAGTTGATGGACATTTAGGCTCTTTCCATAATTTATATCCCACATCTTCTTTATCTATTCATCAATCGATGGACACTGAGGCTACTTCCATATCTTAGCTATTATAAATAATGCTTCTGTAAAAGAAACACTCATGCACTGTTGGTGGGAGAGCAAACTGGTGCAGCCACTGTGGAAAACAGTATGGAGGTTCCTCAAAAAATTAAAAATAGAACTACCTTATTATGATCCAGCAATAACACTACTGGGTATTTAACCCAAAGAATACGAGAATACTAATTCAAAGGGATACATGCACCCCTAAGTTTATACCAAATTTTAATTTCTAACAAGCGCTCAGGTGATGCCCTCAGAGGTTCTAACAAGCTCTCAGGAGTTGTAGTCAAGGGGCAACATTTTGAGAATCCCTGATCTCATTGGATTTTTCCTTCTAAATAAATATGTCTACTGAGAAGACTTTTATTCTTTTTCTTGGTCAATTTTTTTACCTACCTCAAAAGGAAGCAGGAGCAATGGCTACAGAGAACTTATTACATGAAATACTTACACTCTGTACATACACAAGATCCTCTTCATGACTCAGTGAGAAAGCTACTGTGGTACACATTTTATAAATTAAGAAACTGGGAAGTTCAGTGACTCAGCCAAGTTTACTCAGCCAGTAAATATGGGAACTGGGATTTGAACTCAGATAGGTTCCAAAATGTGAGGGTTTTTTTTTTTTTTGTCTCCACCTTCTGGAAATGTTTAGAATCTGATGTCTTCTCACCACCTGCACTCTGTTATAAGCCATCATCATCTCACAACTGCCTTATTTCATTAGCTTTCTGACTGACACCCTTATTTTCACTCTTGCCTTTTTTTTAATATACGAAATTTATTGTCAAATTGGTTTCCATACAACACCCAGTGCTCATCCCAAAAGATGCCCTCTTCAATGCCCATCACCTACCCTACCCTCCCTCCCACCCCCCTCCCCATCAACCCTCAGTTTGTTCTCAGTTTTTAAGAGTCTCTTATGCTTTTCACTCTTGCCTTTTAAAATGGAAGGTAGGGGTGCCTAGCTCTCTCAGTTGGAAGAGGATGCAACTCTTGATCTCTGGGTCATGAGTTCCAGCCCCACATTTGGTGCAGAGATTACTGAAAAATAAATAAACTTTTTAAAAAAGAAATATAGGTAAATTAAGCCAGTCTTCTGCTCAAAACCCTCCAAGGGCTTCCCATCTTACTTAAAGTAAAAACCAAAGCCCTTAACATGACCCCAGGGCTTGACCTGGTCTGTCTGATGACCCCTCTCTTCACCTCTCTCTCTGTACTCCTCACTCATTCTGCCTCAGTCACATTAGCTACCTTGCCATTACTAGAAACCCCCAAGTATGTTCTCACCTCAGGGCCTTACCACTTTTCTAGGACAGTGCTCCTCACATATTTCCACATGGTTTACTCCCTCTTCTCCTTCTTGACTCAAATGTCACTTTCCCCATGAGGCAGATGCTGAGACGGATCCTGGTACACAGGTTATTTATTAGGGATTAATAGTTGTGAAGGGAGGGAAGCGTAACAGGATTAGGCAGAAGTCAGCTGCAATACAGGCCTGGTAAAGCCTCATCGATTCTGTATATAAGTGAAATCATAAGTATTTGTCTTTCTCTGGATTATTTCACTCATCATAGTACCTTCTGGGTCCATCCATGTTGTCGCAAATGGCAATCTCCTTTTGTATGGTGGAGTAACATTCCACTGTATACATATACCATATATTTTTTGTCCATTCTTCTATCGATGACACTTAAATTGTTTTCATATCTTGGCTATTGTAAATAATGCTTCAATGAACATAGGGGTACATGTATCAAATTGGTGTTTTCATTTTCTCTAGATCCAGAAGTAGAATTGCATGTAACTGTCCTGTTTTTCCAACACTGTTTATTGAAGAAACTGTCTTTTCCTCATTGTATGTTCTTGCCTCCTTTGTCATAGGTTAGTTGACCATACATGCATAGGTTTATTTCTGGGGTCTCTATTCTATTCCATGGATCTATGTGTCTGTGTTTATGCCAGTACCATGCTGTTTTGCTAAATCTAGTCTTGCAGTATAGCTTGAAATCAGGAAGCGTGATGTCTTCAGCTTGATTCTACTTTCTCAAGGTTGCTTGTGTTATTTGAACTCTTTTATGGTCCCATACAAATTTTGGGATTCTTTTTTCCATTTCTGTGAAAAATGCCATTGATATTTTGATGAGGCAAAATGTGAGTTCTTAACCATTACACTATTCTGCATCCCAAGGGAACACATAAGAACTTAACTGTACTCATTGATCCATCAGAAATAATGACAATTAGAAGGTTTTGGCTGCCAATGAAACTAAATATTTAGAAAACCTCTCTTATACTGCTTTAAATTTCCTCTTTTGATCTCTAAGTCAATTGAATATGGTTTATGATTCATTAGCATGGATTCAAGCCTAATGTATCTCTTACATAGTACATTCTAAATTTGCCTAGATGATATTAGTGAGGAAGTGAAATGTCTACTACATTCTTCATTTCAAAAATTATGCCAATGAAATATGCCAATAAAACATTCCATTTTAAGCAAGCTATATTAGTCTCCTTTAATTGTAAGAAACAGAAGCCAACCTGAGTTAATGTAGATAAAAATGAAATGTATGGAGTCCAAAAGCAAGAATATGGTCTCACTTCTGGAAGTCAGGGACTTGGAAAAATCAAGACTCTTCTTTCTGCTTTCTGTTTCATCTGTCTCTATATACTGACTTATCCTGCATCCTCCATTTACCTGGAGGAATCTGGCCACCCAAAACTCTTAAGTTTACATTCACAAGTCCAGCCCCTCTCAGAGGACAACCAACCATTTCCCAGTCCTAATTCCCAATTTCTAGTGGAAAGAATCTGAATGGCTTTGTTTATATCAGGGATCATCCCCTGCTCCAATCATTTATGGCTATGGAAGTAGGGCGATTTGATCCAAGTTGGACTCCCAGTACAAATTTGGCTACCACTGTGCTGGGACAGACAAGGAAATCATTTACTTATGAGTTGGGCTAACACTTCAAGAAAGGTTCCCTCAGAAACTCTTCCAGCACTAGATCCATTTGTTCCTTAACATAAGATCTTTATAGTCAAGTATAGATCAAGAATGTTATGTTCCTGACCCATAAAATGAGGGAAAATCCAGAAGACAATACACACTGGTGGTGAGGCTGAGGAGGAATGGCCACTCATTCATTAGTATTGGAAGAACAAAAAAGCCCAAGCCTGATGTAAAATCCTACCCCCAAAAAAGATGCATTTACCGTCTAAGCTAACAATCCCACTTCCGGGAATCTGTTCAATAGGAACCAAGAGAAATGGCCCATAAGCATAGATGTCTTCAGACTCTATACTTTCAAAAAAAAAAATAGACAAAGGATACCTTATTATAATATCAGAAGATGCAGAAACTTTGCACAATCCCCATTCTTTATACTCTAATAATTAAATGTAGCCAGTCTCGGAAAACACATGGTTTTATATACCATTCATCAAAAGAAAACTGCATCCAATTTTTAGAACTATTAACTTACAGGCAATGTTTTATAACTGCTGCTATTTCATGCCGGGAGGTAAAAAGTGTGCTCTATATAATGCTGTTGTGGTCTAGAGGGGAGTTGCTCCAAAAATATTTTGTCTCACTGATGTATGGTTTTGGTGTATGGTTTTGTATTAATTACCTCTGTCTGCAGCACAGATGAAGAATAGTACTGACATGAAAATGCTTTATTCACGTGACAAGCAAATGATATGGAAAAAATTGTAGCCAATAATTTCATACGCATCAACTGAATCCCAGGGAAAATCCAAGTAAAGAGCCCTGTTTTAAATCAATCGTTTATCTTCTTTTTGTCTGCAGTACATCTCCTCATACATTGCAGACTTTAAAAGTGAAATGTTTGAGAAACTCCTTAAGCACCTCTGTCATTGTGCAGATGAATTCCGGGAGATCATAAAAACGGATATGCGGAGGCAGATGTTTGCTGAACTCTTCCTGTGTTGTGACCGTGGGAAGGTAGGATAAGACTTTAAAGCAATACGTCTCAAACTATTTTTTTGTGAAGGACTGGATTTTAGGTTGTTGTGGATGGTGATGTTTTTAATTGCTAAACCGTTGTGGACTAACACTCAATGAAAACGGATTGCTGGGGGGGGGAAAAATGCACGTACAAAAGACAATCCACATTTTTTATTATTAGATTCAAATATGATTTATCTGTTACTTTCTCAAATTGCTATACAATTTTTTAGATACTATCCTCAATTTCTATACCTTTCTTGTCACAGACTGGTACCAGCCTATAGACCATGTCTTCAATGGCACTGCCATTTTACAATGTACAGCTTGTCTCTTTCCATTCTTAAGAATGTATTTTTTTAAGATTGTTTTTGCTTACTCTCTTTGCTGCTGGCTTCCTATAGAAAATAAATTGTTGGGAATAGGAAGCTTACCACATTGTATTAT